TACCAACAAGACCCTGTCTCAAAAAACTTTTATTCTAGTTCATGAGTATTATTTTTTTAAATGCTTGCTAGGTCATGAGGAGTTAAACACTTATTAGATTATGGGGGGGGGGCAGGGATATAGCTCAGCAGCATAGTGCCTGCTTGGCAAAGTGAGGTCATGAGTTCAATTCCTAGCACAGAATAAACAAACAAAAGGTTGTTTAGACTTACACAAATGCCCCTTCATTTATGATGGAGCAACACCTTGAAAAATGTACTGCAAGTTGAAAATATCATTTGTTGAAAAATGCATTTAATACACCTAATTAATAGGCTATATAGGCTACTTTAGCAACACAGCACTGAGTAGAATGTTGGCTGTACACTGTTGACTTCAGCTGCTGCCCAACACCACAAAAGAGACACTGCACACCACTGGCACAGGAAAACAATTAAAAATTCCTGGTGCAGTTGCCAGTTTTACATTACTGTAAAGTCCTAAAATCATCAGTGAAAAACCACTACAAATGGGGGACTGCATAGGATTTGCTTAAAAATACTAACAGGACAGCAAATGTAAATATGCCAATTGAAAAAATTTTGTAGGAAATCACTTTTATATAGTACAAAAATTATAGGCTCCATAGAGTCAGATTAACCTGGGCTTCATTTGGCTCTGCCACTTACTAGCTCTGCCTCTCATTTTCCTCCTTGGTAAACAAAGAAGGTAACAGTCTTCATTTTCCCTTTCCTTTTTTTCACCCCCAGCACTGGGGTTTCAACCCAGGGAACCCACCACTGAGCTACATTGCTAGGCCTTTCTAAAATTTTGAGACAACAGAGTCTTGCTAAGAAGTCTGGGCTAAGAGTCTCCTGCATCAGTTTCCCAAGTAGCTAGTGTTACAGGGAGGTGCCACCACACCCAGCATTGCAATAGTTTTATCTTTTAGAGTTGGTATGAAGATAACATGAGTTGATATGTATAAAGTATTTAAAACAGCATATGGTTCAGTGCTAAGAAATGTTCTCTATCCTAATTACCAGACCAACACCAGGGCCACTGCTCCTACTGCTCCTGTTGTTACTCCCTCAGGGATCTGGGGACAAATTAGTTACAAAATTAATCTGAAGTTTTCTTTTCCCACAGGAGTAATTCTATCTCAAAGGCTGGTTGTTATGGATAAATAGGGCAATGATACTTTTAGAGTTTGCTACTGCTTGGTAAGTGCCACACTTGTCATGCTCAGCATCTCTGCCAGAGTTGATGAGAAAGTGGTCGCAGTACAGAGAAATGTATTTAGGAAATACATTTAACTATCACGAAAGTAGAAAAATGGGCAAGGATATAACAAAATTCTAAAATGTGATTCACTTTGACCCAGTAAGTCTAAGTCTAGAAACTTATCCCACATACATAATAAGCACTAGCTAGGTATAGTGGCACATGCCTGTAATTCCAGCTCTCTAAATGGCTAAAACAAAAGAGGACTGCAATTCAAGCCCTCACGTGGGCAACAGTGACTTAGAGAGACCCTGTCTTAAAATAGATAAAAAAGAGCTGGGAATGTAATCCAGTGCAAAACCCCTGGGTTTATTTCTAGTCCTGCTAAGAGTAACAATAACAACAAAAACACACAAATACCCAAAAACAACCAAATAACAATGTTTACTACTATATTTCTTTTTCTGTCTGTCTTTCTTTCTTTCTTTCTTTCTTTCTTTCTTTCTTTCTTTCTTTCTTTCTGTGTGTGGCCAGCTCAGCCTGCCTGGGGGCGGGGCTGGCTGGCATGTGGTATTGGGGGATTGAACCCCAGTTCCTGTGCTTTGCTAAGCTTGTTCTAAGTAGGTGCTTTAGACCACTGAGCCATCTCACCAGCCCCTTCCTCTTCTTTTTAATCATTTATTCTTTTTTTTTTTTTTTGCGGAACTGGGGATTGAACTCAGATCCTTGCGCTTGCCAGTCAAGTGCTTATCCTACTGAGCCATCTCCCCGGCCCAAAAAAGAGTTTTTTTTTTTTTTTTGGTAGAACCGGGGATTGAACTCAGGCCCTTGCGCTTGCCAGGCAAGTGCTTATTCCACTGAGCCATCTCCCCAGCCCCAATCATTTATTCTTTCATTTATTTGGTATAGGGTTTGTCTACGCAGCTCAGACTCATAGTGATCCTTCTGTCTCAGCCTCCCCAGCGCTGGGATTACAGGTGTGAGCCACTATGCCCGGTTTTGGTGGTTGGCACGGCATGCGGTACTGGGGATTGAACCTGGGTCCTTGTGCTTGCCAGACAGGCCCTTAAGACTGCCAAGCTATCTCCCCGGTCCGCTATTGTATTTATTTTCTTTTTTTATAGGTTTTCTTTTCTTTCTTTTTTGGTTCAGGGTCTCACTACATAGCCCACATTAGTAGCGATCCTCCTGATTTCTGCCTCCCAAGTGCTGAGAATACAGGCGTGTGCCACTGTGCCAGGACTCCATCACTGGCTCAGTGCAACTGGAGGCAGGGCCGGCGCGGCATGCAGAGCCAGGGATTGAACCCTGGCCCCTGCATTTAGCTAAGCAAGCACTTAGTCTGCTGAGCTATACCGCATGCCCTCACTACCGTATTTCTGACAAGTGAAAAATACATATCTGAATATCTACCAAGAGGAGATTGTCTAATCTTTTTATGCCTTTGGAATGACACATACATTTTTTTTTCCTCTTCAAATTCTTGTTTCTTGAATTTTCCTAGGTAAAACATATAAACTTCATGCAAAAATTAAAAAACTGCAAACTTTGGCAGAAAGGGTTTAGTAAACAATAATTCCAAAAGCAGCCCTGGTTTTTCCATTTCCATTTTACAATACATATATCTGGGGAAGGTAAATACCAAATACAACATGTTGCCTGCCTCTAACGGGGGGAACAGGCAGAACAGACAGAATTGGGGTGTACAGGGGCTTCAGTTCTATTGATTGTGTCTTCTCTTTTCTGAAGACAGAGTCTCACTATGCTGCCCAGGCTGCCACATCCTTCATCTTCAACACTTGGCCTCAATCATCCTGATTCAGCCTCCCTGGCAGCGATGACTGTAAGCACATGCCATTGCACTCAATCTTATTTCTTCATGGTGGTATATAAGAGTTCATTATTCCCCCCACCCCTTTTAATCTTTCTTTGGAATGTGTGGTATGCAAGGATGATTGAGAAAATTAAGTCTGAAAGATACAAAGGAATCCAATTACTGAAGTTATTTCTTGGGGCAGAACTATCTGGCCTGATTTGGAAATGTTCTGCCTTGTATATATCTGCATCATTTGAGTTTATATACACACATGTACTGCTTTTATAATAAAAATGAACTAAAACAGAATTCCAATTTATCTCCCCCGACTTCCACCTAGGCAAGTGGTTTAGCACTGGGCTAATCCCCAGCCCTTTAAATTTTTTTCTTTTTTTTGGCAGAACTCGGGATTGAACTCAGACCCTTGTGCTTGCCAGGCAAGTGCTTATTCTACTGAGCCATCTCCCCAGCCTCCCCTTTAAATTTTTTGAGATAGTATCTCCCTAAATTGCTCAGGTTGGCCCTGAACTTTTTTTTTTTTTTTTGCAGGACCAGGGATTGAACTCAGGACCCTGAGCTTGCTCAGTAGAGTTAAGTGCCTGCCTGCCAAGCGCAGGGTCCTGAGTTTGAGCTATCTCCCTGGCCCCTGAACTTTTCATACTGGGTAGTTGGGACTATGGGTGCACACCATGCCTCTAAACATTTATTTTGCATTACTATTTAAGGAAAACTGGACTCAAGTACACAGCAGTGAGAGTAGTAGATTAATCTCCTGGGACTAAAAATGACGAATGTCCCCAGAGAGCTCGGCTTACTCATTATCAGTCTCTTCAGTCTGGTCACATCATGGTAGGTGTAGAAAAGCACGCAGTGAGAGATTTCTCCATCTCTACCAGCTCTGCCGGATTCTTGGTAGTAACCCTCCACGGATTTAGGGAGAGAGGCATGAATCACAAAACGCACGTCAGGTTTGTCAATCCCCATTCCAAATGCAATTGTTGCACAGATAACCTGATATGAAAGCAAAAGCCCATTAGACTCAATGCATTTAAAGGGGTATTTTAATTATCAATGCTTCTACCAGCTCTATCCCTTACTTTACTTTAAAATGTACTTGAATATCTTGACTTGTTCCCACTCTCTAGCATGGCTGAGATTTTCATACTGATGCCTAGAAACTAACTTTATGATGACCCCAGAAGGTAGGAAGAGCCCAGTGTGGCAGGCTCAGTGTTCTCAAGGGAGGAAGCACGAAGCCACTGCACCTGGCCCGTGACACTGCAGGTGTCTGTCTTTTGCGTGATACAGCGCTGTTACAGTGTGGCTCACAGGGCTCTGATGCCATCCCAGGGGCTGTCCATAGTGACATGCTGCTTGGGAGCTGCACGGCATCAACTGCTGCTCACTCCTCAGATGGCTCGGGGCAGGCGGTGGAAGGCAACACTGGCGTGCTCTCCTGCTGACCACCGCCTCATCACACCCTACCTCCTTTGACCCAGCAGCTGATCTCCATGCGAACTTTATGAAGTTGAAACACATAGGAATAAAAGTCTGAGAGCAGCTTATATTAAAAAGAACAACAACAGTAAGGCCAGGGACTGTGGATCCTGGCCTAAGCAAATTACTTAGTGAAGCAATGTGACAGTCACATTTCAGGGGCTTGACAAATTAGTTTTTAAGAATAGCCATTTCAGGACCTATTTAACCCAGACCAAAATGCTGTATCTGCAGGCAAAATTACATTAAACAAATAAAGCTGCAAGCCTGTTTTAGCACTTTAAAAAATGAGTTGCTACTGCAAGAATAGTATTTCAAAAGCAATGGAAATAATGTTCAGCCAGACTGAGGCTACACGACATGATACCAGTAGTGTGAGTACTGGAGAACTGTAAGCTACAAGGCGCACAGCAGCAACACTGGGAAGGCACTGGCCTGTACTCTCACCGAGTTGTCCATCGAGTCTCATGGTACTTTGATCAAAGGAGAGCTCCCAGGAAGGAGCCTACTGGCACTTCTGGTGCCAGGAGGCTGCAGAGCACTCATGGCCAGGGCCTTCTTTGTGGGGGGCAGGCAGCTGTGTGGCAGCTGTGGTGTAAGGACACAATACTGCCGGCCCTTTCTAAATGCTTTGACTTCTTTAATTGGGAATACTTGCTTGGTTGAACTGTTAAGTTCTTTTATTTCTGCGCTGCTATTGTTGTTGTTTTTTTTGGTGGGGGGGGAGTTGAGAATTGAACTCAGGACCTTGGTGCTTGCCACATGGGCACTTGTGCCACTAAGCCATATTCCAAGCCCCTTGTGCTATTAAAAATAGCACAAGGGGGGGCTTGCCCATTAGTTCAGTTGTTTAAAGCGCCACTTGGGCAAATGTAGTCAGGCACACAGGACTGCACTTTGATCCTGAGCTCCATAAGCCGCACCACACTTGCACTTTTTTTTTTTTGGTGGAACCGGGGATTGAACTCAGACCCTTGCGCTTGCCAGGCAAGCGTTTATTCTACTGAGCCATCTCCCCCGCCTGCACGTAAGGCAGCCTAAACTAGTCCCCCCCAAAACAAATTAAAAAAAAAAAAATCCTTCTCCAAAAATAGCACAAGGGTAGCACCATTTTTTTTTTTTTTTTAAATGAAAAGAGACAATGAAGTTTTATCTGATTTGTGACACTAATAAGATCAAAGCTGTCCAGGCGGTATAAGCTTACATTGTACCATGACTATAAGGATTAGGTAGGCAGAGAGCAGAAAAATTTAGACATTATTGATGTTTTACGCTGCCTTCTCCTCCCGTACTGAAGCTTGAAACCACGGCCTTTGCACTAAGCCACATCTCCAGCCCTTTTTAAAATTTTAAGACAGTTTGACTAAGTGGCTAGACTTGAACTTGTGATCCTCAGGCCTCAGCCTTCCAGAATGCCATATAGACATGCACCACTGGATCTGGCCATATGTCTGTCTTCATTGTAAGAATGTATTTTTCGTTAATTATATCTTCATTATAGAATACTTATATTAACATAAAAATTTAAAGAACTTGAGGGGCTGGGAATTTGGTTCAGCAGTAGAAAGCTTGCTGGAAGCCCTGGGTTGTCCTTGGCTCCAAAAACAAATAATAAACATCCTCTTAAAGAACTTGAAAAAAATTATCTTTAATTACATGATTAGGAATAAACACTCTTAAATTTTAGACTCTTCTGTATTCTTGGCTTTTTTCTATTCAGTTTTCTTTTTGGAATGGTTGAGATTTTGTACTTCAGTCTTCTTTGTTTTTCATTTTTTGCTGGGCTGGGAATCAAACTCAGGGTCTCCCACACACCAGCCAAGTGCTCTACCACTGAAGCATATCTTTTTTTTTTTTGCAGAGCCAGGGATTGAACTCAGGCTCTTGAGCTTGCGCAAGCACTTATTCAACTGAGCTATCTCTCCAACCCCTGAAGCATGTCCTTAGCCAGAGATTTTGTACTTTTGAATTCTATTGTTTCCTATCTTTCCCATCTTCATACATTCACAAATTTCCACATATATATCTATATCTAATATATATCTGTATATACAAAATAAGCTAGGATAGATATATAGCTACTCTTATTGGAATAGTGAGAAGATTTGTACTAATAGTGTTTGGACAAGATATCATGCCTGCATCTTGTACTATGAATAACTACTACGAAGACAACAATATGCAATGCATTAATTATTGTTAACTGTCCTACTAATCGGCCTTGAAACTGTCTCATTGCTATTTGTTTCTCAATAAAATTAATTTAAAAAAATTTCTTGCTGGAGCCAGGTATTGTGCATACTCCTATAATCCCAGCTATGTGGGAGGCTGAGGCAGGAAGATTGTGAGTTTAAGCTTAGCCTGGGCAACTTGGTGAGGCTCTGTCCTTTTTTTTTTTTTAAAGATAGGGTTTTGCTATGTTGTTTAGGCTGGCCTCAAACTCATGGTGATTTTCCTGCCTCAGCCTCTCACGAGGTGTCTTTTCATAGCACTGCTATCAGAAACTAAGTAAAAATTTGCTAATTTCAGAAAAACATGCTGGTTTTATTTTATTATTATTTTTATTTATTTATTTAATTTATTT